TTAAAGACGGTCTTAAAATAAGAACGGACTAGAAATACCGGCCACAAAGCCGGTAATTATTATTTTCATAATTATTATTTTAAGACCATCTTAGTAATAACATCTTAACCCTGATGGAAATTTTTTTCTAAATTGTAATAAATAATGGTGAAAAATATTAATTGTAATTGTAATGAATAATGATGAAATATTACTGAACTTTGTATTGAAATCTGTATTAATTGACCCACTTTCAATATTATTTCATTTAGATTTCATTACAATTCATTAAAAATTCATTAAGATTTCATTACAATCATTAAAATTTAATATTATATTAGAGTTCATTATTTAGCCTCATGTTAGTATAAAAATACAATGCACTAAAATAAAAATGTGAAAATCATACAATGACATGTACAAATATGACATGTCTGCTGATGATCTAAGCTTCGATTATGAATGCGTTCCAAAACTTGAAACTCTTTGTTTAATATTCGGTAAACAACAAGAATAGAATGATATTCGGATCAACAAAGCCAAGTTTTGGAATGTAACCCATGTAAACAGTTATACAGAATATAGAGAGAGCACGATTAAATTTTACATACGAGAACCGACACCATCTAGCGGCACTCCTAGAAAGACAAATTCAACGCTTCGTTACAATGCACACAAACTGAGAATTTATTTCAATTATTAATTCCAACATTTTAATTCTACTATTCTTTTTTTGGTAATTATCATTAATAAGTCTCTATAAAAATAATGTATATTTTGTTTCAATGTCACTGCCTTTTAAATATTTTCATTAATATTTTTAAAAATGTATAGTATTTCAACATATTTCAGTGTATAATAAATTGTAAAAATATTATATTTTGCATTGCTTTTTTTATTCATTTTTAAAAATTATTTTTAGGATTCACAATATTTCAGTATAATTCACTATTCAATTTCTCTTAATAAATCTGTATAAATATATTTGCATTAGTTTTCATCACATTTCATTAATTTCAGTATAATTCAGTGTCAATTCAATTTCTTTGAATAAATCACAAGATGAATATTAAATATATTTACAATAGTTTCAATATTTTTCACTCTTCATTAATTTTCATTCATTATCTTTAAAATTTATAGTATTTCAAAATTAAAAGTATTATTTATGTTAAAATATTTTCAATAATACTTCAATAATTTTCATTTCTCATTTCAATGATTTTTATAGTCGATTTTAGCGATTTATTTCCATCAAGGCAGATATCACTTAAGACAGTCTTAAAATAAGAAAAGACTATAAATATCGGCTTATGCCGATATATGATGCATGTAGTCAATGTAAAATATACTTTTCAGAGATTTAATTTTTTTGCAGATATTTTATAGAAGTAAAAAATAGGAGCGTTACCCTGGCTTTTCCTTGCAACCATCTTTTACCAATTTTTTTAATAGTAGGTATTTAGCATATAATTTTATACATTGTATAGTGTTAAATGTATGATAAACATACAAAATATTGAGCAGAATTTGATTGCTCTCCGAAAACCATGTTGTACAAATATATAAATTTTAGAGCACTTTTTACTTTATACATATATGTATATAGGAGAGTCGTCTGAAAAGTTTTGAGCCTAACATAGAAACAAATATTTTTTCGATCAAATTCAGTTTTATTTTTTAACATAGTCTCCTTTTAAGTTAATACACTTTTCCCAGTAAAATGCTTCCATCCCTTTAACTCATTCAAATAATAGTTAGTGTCTTGCTCTGCAAAATAGTCTTCTAAGGATGCAATGACCTGCTCATTCGATAAAAATCTCTGTCCTCCGAGTCAAACTTTGAGCTTAGGAAACAGGAAAAAGTCGCTGGGGCCAGATCTGGTGAACATGGTGACTGGTCAATCAATTCGACTATAATTCGTGAATTTTTGCCATAATGACCGTCGAAATGTGAGGTGTATCATCTTGATGGAACAGCATTTTCTTCTTCTCTAAATGCTGTTTTTTCGCAATTCCTGCCTTCAGCTTGTCAATTAATGATGCGTAGTATACCCTCGTTATTGTTTTACCTTTTCCAAAATAGTCGATGAACACAATTCCATGACTATCCCAAAAAATAGTCGCCATCACCTTCCCGATGAAACCGTCTTCGTCTTCTTCGGAGCAGATGCATCTTTCGCAATCCACTGTTTCAATTTTTCCTTCGTCTCAAGAACAAAGTAACCGATTTAAGTTTTATCAACAATTATTAATCGATGCAAAAAAATCGGACTCGTTTCGCTTAAACCGCTCCAAGGCCTTGGAAATGTTTATTCAAATGGATTTTGGTCCACAGTGAACAAGCGCGGCACCTAACTTCTTCAGCCAATATATGACAAACACGTTCTTTCGATATACCTACAACCTCTGCTATCTTTCTAACTTCGATTCGACAATCGTTCAGTACGATTTGGTGAATTTTTTCGATTGTATCGGTGGTAATCGCAGTTGTTGGCTATCCCGAACGCTAATTAGCCGAGCTGGTATGACCATTTAAATTAAGCTGCCCATCTTTTCATGGTGGCAAATGATCCTGGACTGGGCAGAGTCCTCGTAAACAGGGTCCAACTCTACTTTAATTTGCGCAGGCGTATTGCCTTTCAAATGCAAGAATTTAATCATGACACGATATTCGGTTTTTTACATTTTTACAAAAATACTGACATCGACTGGCACAAACGACTGTCAAACATCAATTGAGCGTCCAAAATGGGTATAATTTTCACAGGTATCTTTCAAAATATGTACGATCGTAGTACCAGAATAGTTTTGATGAGTAATGCCATCTTCATTGAGACTCAAAACTTTTCAGTTAGCCCTTATGTGTGTGTGTGTGTGTGTGTGTGTGTGTGTGTGTGTGTGTGTGTGTGTGTGTGTGTACACACACATATATACACACACAGGGACTGTTTTACTCGGTTTAGTCCATTCTGTCGCTATACGAAAGTTTTATAATTGTTAGACACCTTATTTATGTATATATATAATATATAAATCAACTGTTGACTATACGTTTACTGTTTTTTTATTCGCTACGCATCTAATACTCATTTGTCCGGAAATATATTGATTTGTCACATCATGTATCGCTTAAATCACTACTACTGATGTCTGCTTGTACTAAGGTGAAATATGATGTGTATGTGTGTGTGTATTCTTCATAATTCTCGAATCTGTTTCTATAATCAAATATCTAATCAATTACAAAAACCTTAATAAATACCGATTATATTCTCTTCCTCTTTTATTACTTAAAGTATAAGTAAATAATTCTTATGGCAACGTCAACCACAACTAAAGAATATTAAAATTCATCCATCCAATTGCATTTTGGCATTTTACGTCCTTAATTATTACTCGTAAAGTAATAAGGAATTGTAAATTATCGTCCTTTCGAAATAGAAGACGATTTATTCTTTCCAATCCTTCTTAATTTCAAACGCCCACTCCCATTTGAGATGTTCATGCTTGTCGTCATCTGTGAAGAGAGAACTAACGCTGTATGAGCCTCGCGCTACAACACCGGCTGGCGCATCTTCAGCTGGAGTAGTGTAAGACTGAAGCTCTGTTTTAGGAGGATACGAGCCTACCATATGTGTCATTTTGTCAACTGTAACAAAAGATAAAAAATGTACAATTCTATCATACGCTACATACTCTAATTATTGCATATTTCATTTACCCGTAACTCCTAATTTGCATTAGAAGCATTAACACACAAGCAATCGAATTTATTATAATTATTAAGAATAACATCATTATATTCAAATACAAAAGAGGAAAAAATATCATACCAGGTACACCAAGGCGATAAGTCTTTTGAACATATTTTAATCCATGCACGATCTCGCGTTGCACAATAAAATCGATCCTGATTCTATAGCTCACGCCCTCCTTGATGACAAATGTATGTTTTTTTAGCTGTGATAAATCACCAGTCAAGTCTAATTCCATATCCGGTCGATCAGCGACGCATAATGCCAATTTCTTCACTATTACCTTTCTAGGATCATTAGGATCTACGAGAATTATATAATTATTTAGAATGTTGTCACGTCACGCCTATTATATGTTGTAAAGGGATCCAAGTGTTAGTTATATAAAAACATTATACAAATAACATGTGTTGCGCACGCACGCACACACACATTTTTATAGGTCTTGTAAAGAAAAGTAGTTATAATAAATGACACTGTTAATATAATTATTGTTCTTTACTATTTACTATTTATTTAGAATTTTGATTGATTTAGTTAATTACTATTTAATAATAGGTTCTTGAAGATTTATCAATGTTGCGGTAACTGTTATCACATCATCGATAATGTTCAACATGCGATGATGAATACCCGAATGAAGTTTGAGTACACTGAATTCTCTTATTTTTCTGATAATCCTTTTTATTAATATGTGTGAAGACTTGCGATTCTTTTCAATATTCCATCTTTTGAAAGTTTTTTATCGCTCGATACACTTGGTGGTATTAACACATTTTTTTTCTTTTGCAACATATGATCGATGTACTTGAATCCTCGATTATAACAGCACATTCAGAAATTCCTGTAAATATTAACTTATTTCCACTATTGCAGCATCGCTTATTCTTTCACCAAAATTTTTCGATATAAAATTTATAAGTTCTGAAATTGAAATTCAAAAATCAACTAATCCGATATATGAAATTATTACTTAGTTGGAACATAAAAAATATAATCAGGTGCTGCAGATATTAAATATTCTTTGTATTCCAACCAAGTAATAATTTTATATATCAAATTGATTGGTTTTTGAATTTCAATTTTAAATCAATTTATTATCGTGATTGCACATTTGCCACGAAATTTTCTTGACAAATTCCTTCGTATTGATATAGCAGTAGGTCAGATTAATAATTTTTTTAGATGAACGACTAATACTGCTAAAGTTTGGCGAAATATAACATTGACAGTAGTTGAATCAAATCTAAAACAAACTATCACCTAAACGAGAAAATGTGTCACTTAATTTTATTTTCGATAAAGTTGAACAAATGTTACGAACGCTAATGTTTGTTTCTTTACTTAACAGATTTATAAATCCATTAGCTGGAAGTCCGATATACAGTTTTGGTTTATTTTTTATTAAGAACAAATGTCTTTCTAATGCTGCTTTTAAGTAACTTTTCTTCTGTTTCATCACCAATTTTTTTGGAGGATAAAAATTTTCGCACCTCCAGTATACCGTACAGGAATATTGTTTTTGTGACCGTCGGACTTTACAAACTAACAATGTTAACAATGATTTTCCAAGTTTCCAGTCGTTGAACAAATTTCGCACATGATTGGACTACAGTCAATTTACTTCGCACATCAATTTTATCAGTTTAAATCCGTTTATGACATTAATTAATTTTATCTATTTGCACTTTCCTATTCTTGAATATTGCAGGTCTCATTGGCAATTGAAATCCTTCCACTTTCGGAAATCCAAGTTTTAATTCCAAAATATTACGAACGTAATAACTTTCTTGATCTTTTGACTTCAATTTCAGTTCTTTTTTAAAACTCATCTACAGTTAATGCTTCCTAATTTTTAGAAAAGCTCCCTTTCTTAAATGAACATTAGCATTTGGATCAAAATCCAAATGTAATTTTTCAAATTCTCTATATTATGGAATAATAGCGGATAACAACAGTTTTGAAGTTAAACACATAAATAAGCAAATATGATACAATGAATAAGATGAGGGGATTGGTTAACTACTGAATATCTCAATCATGAAACTTTATCCCTAGAATGAAAAGTGAAAAGTGAAATTTTCTCCATTAATTTCAATGGTAAAAATTTTCACTTTTCACTTTCCATCCTAGGGATAAAGTTTCATGATTGATACCCTGATGACTGCTAATGACGTCATACGACATTTTCGTGCGAAAAAGTCCGGTACAAATATGACAATTTTTAATTCGTTATTAAAATTATAAATATGCATATCATAATTCTTTAAATATCTTTTAGAACAGGCCTGTTCAAAACTAGATTTGTGAACCAAAATGCTTCTACCTCTCCGCTGTCTTGGTAGAGCGAAACAGAGCGTAAATAACAAAGGATAGATGCCTAAATTCTGTCCAAGCGTTGTAGAGTAAAGGAGCCGAGCGAGTCCGTCTCTTAATTTGCAATCATAATAGTTTTTTATTTTGCCTCATTCTGTGCTTGTGACATCCATAATGATGCTATCCAATCTTCTTCAAGCATTTTCGTTTCTTATTATATACAACATGAATGTTCTGTACAGTACAGAAGTTTGTAGCAATATTGCTGCAACATGTTACAACATTGCATATTACAACGACGTTTGCGACTTGAATTCAGGCGGAACGCTAGCTCTATTCTTTGTTATTTACGTTTCATCTCGCTCTATTGAGACGGCGGAGAGGTGGAAGGCGTTTCGGCTTATGAGTCGAGGTTTGGACAAGCCTGTTTTTATATAGAACATATATTTTTTATATAATCTAAATTATTATTTAAAATAGAGCGAAGAAATATTTGCACATTTAAATTGATTTTCAGCTTGATTGCTACTTTTTATAATAGTATCCCGCGTGTACTCTAAGGATACCTCTACATAATTCGCAAATCGCAAAACATAGTTCACAAATGCTGATGCAGAACGACGATCACTACAAGACACAGATGAAAACCAACTGCATGCAATGAAAAAACAAACGCAAATCTTCATTCTGCGTCCACGTTTGCGAACTACGTTTTGCTATTTACGAATTATGTAAAAGCACCTTAAATGCTGATCGGCGCATTTAGATTGTGCGCGGGTAAGTGAAGTAAGAAACGGAAAACAAACAAAAAATCAGCCAAAATGTGCAGATATTTTCCAGTTATGATTTAAAATAATAGAAAAAAGATACTGTAGAACCGACTTATAAATATTAACGCGGGGATAAAAAGGGCAGAACAAGTAGCGAGATAACTTATAAACAATTTCGAACACAACTGATCATATATTATAGGTCATGATTATACATATATTTATAAAACTAAATGCCCACCTACTACAATGCCGCCAGATTTTGCTTCTCCCAGAAGCGTCTCTTTATACTTGCGCAAACTCTCATCTTCCTTATCTGTTTCCAAGATCTGCTCGATGGATTTTTCCGGTGGAGGCTTATAACTGGATTCCACGTCCGGCTCCTCATCCAACGCATCTACATGATCACCCGTAGAGTCAGACATCGCTATGTTCAAACCAGGAAAGATATACATATATATATAAATATATATATATAAAAAGACTTGCGAGAAAGAGAAGAGACAAAAAAAAGGATTGAAGGATGCATAATATTATGCGATATACAAGATCTCCTAAACTTTTTGACACCGTTTGTGGGCAAGTAGAGCGGACTAAATTGAGTCAAATAATCCTCTGTCAGTTTGCAATCTTTGCAATAGTTAAGGATATATCCGAGTCATTTGTATAAATGTGTTAATATTTATACTTTAAACAAACTATCTATCTATAAAAATAAACATTAATTAGCAATTTTACAATAAATACATTCTGTTCTAACATCATGAGCTTTGCACATATTTTTTATTTTAGAAGCTAAATTTCAATTGTACGAATACTTTTTGAGCATCCAAATAGTATATTTTTTAATTTTCGCTTATTTTTCAAACGATATTCTGTAATTAATACACATCTTTTTAGTATATATAATTTTAAGAAACATACAATCTATTTTATTCTTTATAAATAAATTATTAATTATCCAGCAAGAAATGATCGTCAATTAAATGTTGAATTGACATCAAATTAGTGTTGAAATCATTGTATCGATATCAATTCGACATCAATTCGATGACTCATTTCTCGCTGGATAATATTTAGTTTTTAAAAATAAAGATTCTTTAAAAAATATTTTCTCTGTACAAATACTTTTTGCATTCACTGTATGTAAGGTGTTCCGAAACTTTTTGCCAAGCGCTCTTGTGTAGATAGAGCAGATTAAATTGAGTCAAAAAGTCTTCTACCTCTATTTTGTAATTTTCGCAATAGTTAATAAGATATTAATTATTAGGTACTAAACTTAGTTTCACATTTAGTTAGACATTTGTCAATAAAATTCAGTGCGAAAAGATTCATTTAAATGAACAGTACCATTTTTTTGGTTATTAAACATGGAACGTGATAAGTTGTTTTTTCGATATATGCTGCTTCATTACTTCGATTTGAAAAAAACTGCAGTTGCAGTTCATAAATTACTTGTCAAAGCTTATGGCAATTGTGTTCCATCAGAAAGAACATGCCAAAAATGGTTTCAACGATTTAAGAGTGATGATTATGATGTGAATGATAAACAACGCTCAGGTCAACCGAAAAAGTTTGAAGACAGCGAATTGCAAGCATTATTGGACGAAAACTCAGCTCAAACGCTCCAAGAATTGTTTGCAGCATTAAATGTTACTCCGATGGCTGTTTCCAAACGTCTACATGCAATGGAAAAGATTCAAAAGGAAGGAAAATGGGTACCACACGAATTAACTGAAAATGCCATTGCGAATCGCTTAAACATCTCTCTATTTCTTTGCTCGCCAGATAGAAAAAAAAAGTTTTTTGTGACGCATTGTGACTGGCGATGAAAAGTGGATCTATTTTAATAATCCCAAACAAAAAGTCATGGGTGAATCCTGGCCAACCATCAATATCTATACCAAAGCGAAATATATCCATAGCCACAAAGCAATGCTCTGGTGGGATATACAAGGCGTCATTTACTATGAGCTACTCAAATCGAGTGAAAGTATCACGGGGAATCGATATCAATTACAATTGAACGTCTGAATGAAGCATTGTTGGAAAAAAGGCTAGTAGTAGCCAGCAATCGACACAAAGTTATGTTTTTGCATGACAATGCTCGACCACACGTTGCAAAAGCCGTCAAGGAAACACTGATGCAGCTCGAGTGGGAAGTTCTCTCGCACCTAGCGTATTCACCAGACTTAGCTCCTTCAGACTATTACTTATTCCGATCGATGCAGCACGACTTGGTGGATACACACTTCAGAAATTACGAGGATAGGCGAAAATGGATCGATGAATAGATTGCTTCAAAAGACTAATCGTTCTATCGTCACGGGATCCACTTATTGCCACAAAGATAGGAAAAATGTATAGCTAGCAAGGGCAGATACTTTGATTGATGTATTTTTTGCTTTTGACATCGAAATAAATGAGTTTTTTAAATAAAAAAAAACGTCAAAACTAAGTTTAGTATAATACCAAAAATCGCTAAATATTGGTTTTCAATCATTTTTTACTCAAATACTATCAACTTTACAGCGAGAAACAAAAATTGTTAATTTTCTTCTCATAAAGTTTTGAGAATTTTTTAATACCATATTTTCTCATGTTAATAAAAATAGTTGCCAATAAGAAAATACAGTACTAAAAAGTTGATTAAATATTTTTAAAAAATTCTTAGAATTCTACGAAAAAAAAAAAACAATTTTTGTCTCTTGCAGTTTTTCTGTAAAGTTAGTAGTATTTGAGGAAAAAATTATAGAAGGCCAATATTCGGCGATTTTTAGTAATTAATATCTTGTTAACTATATTGAGAAAATTGCAAAATGGTAGAGGACTTTTCGACTCAATTTAGTCCGTTCTTGTGTAAATAGAATCGCTTTGTAATACCAACTAAAATTGAAGTCTTGATCCTCGTTTATGTGAGGAGCTTACATTGACTCTGCTTCGCACTGAAGGAATAAGATTTAGTTAATCGCCTTTATCCCCCGAAGAAACTGTCACAGGATCTTTTAATCCAAATTTATCGCATGACCCTTTATATTGGATCGGAAGTCCAAACAAAATAATCTCAAGAAGAGGAAGAAGAAGAAGAGGAAGAGGAAAAGAAAAAAGAAGAAGGAAAAGAACATGCATCCCTCTGGGCAGTCTTATTTAGTTCCACGTTTGCATTTGGTGGGCGAATTTAGCTACTTTCATAAATTAATCCCTCGTTAACCATTGCGAAAATTGCAAAATGGTACAGGATTTTTTGACTCAGTTTAGTCCGCTCTATCTACATAAAAACGCTTAGCCGAAAATTGCGAGACATCCTGTACGAGGGTCGTTCGAAAAGTCCGTGCAAAGTCACTGCTGATGGCACTACTGGCGCGTATCAAGGTTAGATTTAGTTAGTAGCATCTCTTGGAGGAACACACACCAAGTTACAGCCAGATCGGTCTATTTGTTTGTGTTTGGCATTCATTTGAATCGAGGAAGTCGAG